TGGAGCACCCTTCCTCACACTGACACCAGTGATGGAGCACCCTTCCTCACACTGACACCAGTGATGGAGCACCCTTCCTCACACTGACACCAGTGATGGAGCACCCTTCCTCACACTGACACCAATGATAGGGCACTATTCTGCCCACTACTACCAATGATGAGGCTCCAGTTGATGCTGGGGCATTTTCTACTCCCATGGCCCACAGTGCACCCCCCACTAAAATTTGAAGCACAGTAAATTGGCCCATTGTTTCGAAAGATTGGAGACCCTAAACTAGATAAATGTATATCTTTCTTTATATGTTTTTTCAGTTGGTCATCTACTTCATACTCCCAAAGTTGAATTTTATGGATGAATTGTGCTCATGATGTCTTTCACCACTGTTTATTTTTGATCCAACATCAGAGATTTATGTACTGAGGTTATGTATGGATACTAAAAATGTACGTGTTGATTCTGAGATACGTGCTGGGTTGTGTACTATTTTAGTTATGTATCTGTATTTTGATAAGCATTTTTCGATAATTTGTTTTCATGAATGAAAATTCTAAATTTTAATTTTTTTAACAATATTCATTTTCTACTCTATCTAAAACTAAAAAAAATAGTTCTGCATAAACCTTAAAAAAACAGTATTTAAATTGCTTTGTAATGGCCACAGCTGTGAGATGAAACTACAATATGATCTTGATCACAAAAACTTGGTGAGTTACTTTTGAGCATATTCACTGCTTGCCCCTCAAGAAACCATAAAAAGCAAAATAAAGTAATTATTAAAGCCAAAAATAGCATTTTATTACTTTTTGAGAGTATTTTATAGACATTCTAAGCAATCAATAAACAATCTTTTAATTAAACTCTCATTGACCTCTGAAGCTGCAAGCCCTTTGGAGCAATTCATCTTCAAAGCCCACATTGCTAAGGCAGTGAATATGTCCTTCATCCCAGCAGTGGCTTGGCAGAACAGCTTCTGCAGATATAACTATGTTAAAGTGAGCCTAATCCAAATGTAATGACAACTTATAGTATAACTAAAGGCAAACTTTTTTGTTGTTTTGGATAAAGTGGAGAGGTATTAGAACACCTGTCAGGTTTTTATGTCTGTGCCCCTGTTGGGGGATTTGCCCTCTCTATTTTTGCTTTTTGCCATTATTACCAAAAGTGACTATAAAATAAAATCACTAGTTTCGGATTGTTCCCAGAAAATATATAGTGGCGATATCTACCAGTGGGACACTAGTTCTGGTGACTGGTGCCAATCAGGGATTCCCTCACTTTAGTGGGATTACCTTTCACTTCCTGTTTTGGCTATGGGACAGGAAGTGAAGGGAAATCCCCTAATGGGACACAGATGGCAAAAATAAACCTTACAGGGGTCATATTACCAAAACATAATTCTATCACATTAATAACATTGCTAATTGTTCTTTTCATTCTCTAAATACCACAATGTGCAACATTTTTCAGTAAAAGCTCCTTAAGTGTCGGAATTGAAAGTCGCAATTTTGCCAGGCGACTTCCTGGCGATTTGTTGGCAACTCGAGTACAATTTTGTTGCAACTTTCATGCCATGCAACTTTGCCTGTGGCCAATGAGAACATCACCTACAGGTAATCTTCCTGTAATGTCGGATCCAAATCACATCACTATAGATGAGAATCCGACTTTGAGGCGACTTCCATTAAAGTCTATGGGCGCAAGTCGGACAGAAGTCACCTTGAAGTAGTACAGGAGCCTGTTCTAAAGTCGGAGCAATTTCAGTAGTGCTAATTAAGACAGCTGTCATTGACTCATGGGATTTCACATATCATGCGACTTGGGGGGTCTCACAAGTTGGATCCCAAGTCGCAGCAGTGTGAACCGAGCATAACAAAATCTTGTCACCAAATTCCTTTGATCTAGTGGATTGGAAATTTAGATAACTCACCACTGGAGTGTCTGGTTGACAGTTCCAGCAAACATGCAAAACTGAAATACAGACGTTCCTCGGTTTACGAATTTAATGCATTCTCCGGGATGTTTTGTATGGCGAAAAATTCGTAAACCGAAACGCGGTTTCCCATAGGAATGCATTGAAAACCAATTAATCCGTTCCGGAGGTCAGAAAAAAGTAAAAAAAAAAGTCTTATCTGTTGAAAACTCTTTATAAAGTGCACTTTTAGGGCGTAAATACTGTACAGGGACATGATTAAAAAAAGTTTGTAAATGCATTGAAAATCAATTAATCCATTCCGGAGGTCAGAAAAACATCTAATCTGTTCAAAACTCTTTATAAAGTGCACTTTAAAGGCATAAATACTGTACAGGGACATGTTAAAATTTCCAGAATGGCTGCAAAACTCGATGCAAAAACCGCTCCAACACCACCACACTTGATGCCACGTGCTACCCACAGACTCCAGCATTCACGGGGCCGGCGCTTGCAGTAGTCGAGTCGTGATATGATGAGGGAGTGGATGAGCTGTTTAGTGGTTTCTGGGGTTAGGAACGTGCGGATTTTGGCGATGTTGCGGAGGTGGAGTCTGCATGAGTTTGTTAAAGATTGGACTTGGGGCTGGAAGGATAGGTTGGAGTCCAGAATGACACCAAGTACTCTGGCCTGCGGGGCGGGTTTGATGGTGGCGTTGTTGGATGTGATGGAGAAGTCAATGGGGGGTGGTGTCCAGGCTGGGGGGAAGACAAGAAACTCGGTTTTGGAGAGGTTCAGTTTAAGGAAGTGGAGCAACATCCAGTCTGATATGTCGCTCAGTAGGTGTGTGATTCGGGTGGAGACCGAGGGGGTGAGGTGGGGGGTTGAGAGATATATTTGTGTGTCGACCTGTTGGCTAGATCTTTGCTGGCTTCATAGCTCAGTGGTCATAGGCTTTCCACATCTCACCTACATTTCTTAAGGGACAGATGACATCGCTGCACTGAACATGTAGGTTCTCCTTGTGTTCCCACGTTCTCTCTTGTTTGATTGACAGCTGCGTTTAATATAAACAAGTAGCAAGTGGCTGGTACAAAAAAAAAAACAACAAGAGATGGAGGATAATAGCTGCTTATTTTTTTGCCCTCCTCTCTTTCCTCCTTTCCCTCCTCACCAACATGCTAATTACATTTTTAAATGCAATTTTTCCATTTTGATTGCATATCTTATTTTAGTCCCAGTGACATTATTGCCGGGTTTCTGTGGTTCTCTATCCAGTGCAGGCAGTTAATGGCTGGTGGAAGGGGCAAGTAGGGTGCTGTCCATACCTTCCGGAAAGCATCACAGCACCCTGCCTCGGTACTTCTTTTAAAAGCCCACACCCATGATGCAGGAAATTGCTTGGCTCTTGGGAGGATTTAGGCAAATATAAAAAAAAATCCTTGACTGGGTGGATGTCAGCCTGGTGAGGTGGGCTTTCCTAAGGCAGGATGTATTTGCATGCATATGAAGAGACAAAAAGAGGGCACACGGGTCTAGTGCATTTCCTTTAAAAACAACATTTATTGCTAAAAAGTCAAATAATCACAAGAGAAATAAAATCAAATAGAGAGCTTGGCTCTGAGGAAGATGTACAACCTCCAAATGCGTCAGCCATCAGCTATCCAGAGGTCTACAGTCCCCCACCAGACTACCTTCAGGGGTATTGGACCACACTTCATTTCTTGTGACATGCTCTCCATCTGGTTTTATTTCTCTTGTGAGTATTTTACTTTTTATCAATGCATTTCGTTTTTAAAGGTAATGCACTAGGCCTGTGCGCCCACTTTTTGTCTCTTCATATACAGTTCTTTTTGGATTTCCCTGGTCCGTTGAGGGCAGCAAAGCTTGCATTCCTTTCATACACATGTGGGGATACTGACATTGGTCCATTGTCCAGCGCAGGAGCTCAGGTATTCAGTTGCTTTTTTCTTCCTAACTGTATTTGAATGCATTCTGAGCTTCCCAGATTGAAATAATTTAAAACCAATGAATGAAAGGGGTGGGCCAGGGACAGTAAGGCTGGAGGGGAAAGAGCTGGATGATGCTGAGGGGGAGATTTACTAAAACTAGTGCAGCTGTGTATAGTAAGCAATCAGCTTTTAGGTTTAAGCACCGGTGCACACCGATGCAAATTGTCATGCTATTTGATATTATTCAAATCGCATGCAATGAACGGCAATGGAATTGTTCTAACAAAGTCAGAGTTGCACTGATCAGAAAGTAGTTCCTGCACTACTTTTGCCATTTTGGGACCCGACTTTGATAGACATCTGTGCATGAAGTCGCGAAGATGTTTATTAAGTCACACTGCCATCCAACTTTGAAATCGTGCAACTTCTAGCGAAGTCACAAGATTTCAAAGTCAGATCCAGTGTGAACCAGGGATTATTGTCAAAGCTTAATTGAACAAGCTGAAGTTAGAAGCTGATTGGCTCCCATGCACAGCTACACCAGATTCTGAGTGCTCCAGTTTTAGTAAATCTCCCCCTGAATGACCACCAACCAGGAAAGGAGGCAGGCTCTGGCAACATAGAATAGTGACCTATGGATAAAGCAAAATGTAGTACACGTGTATATGCATGCGCTTTTTTGAACTTGCAGTTTTCTTAGTGTTAGTAGTCTATAAATAAAGCAGAACTATTTTGAGGGCCTCATTCACATAAGCCCTGTGGCCCACAGTGTAACGGAGCTCCATGTACCGGTGCTGCATGCCGGCAGGCCATGTCTCTCTGTGGGAAGACAGAAGCTGGACAGAGACAGGCACTCAACCTAATGTGACAAGCGTGCAGCTCCAGGCCTCTCCAGCCACGACAAACAAGGCGCTCATTCACGCTAAACAAGCCACAGCAAAGCTGTGTTTCCACGTTACTAAAAAAGGGTCATAGTTGGGCACCTGCTGTATCTTCCCCTCTTCCTGACTGGTGAAGATTGTCCAGGCCTGAATTAATATGACTTAACCGGCTTTCGTTTCTAATGTGTGACTACTAATGATTGTCTAACCCATGCATGCTTTGTGAATTAACAAATATTCATTTTTATTAATATAGGGCTCAATTAAGAGAAACTTGTCAAGTAAGTAGAATTTTCATGTGAGATTTTGTATCTAAGTAGCAATTGTTTTGACTTCCAAGTATATATCTCAAGCCAATAAATATATACATACATACATACATACATACACACACACACTTATATATATTCTAGAATTTTTAATTTTTTGGTTCAGTTTTTTTTTTGTTAGTCTTGGGTTGAGAGAGGTTTGGAACCTCCCAGACACCAGGACAGTGAGAAAATCTCCTAAAGGACAGTTATGACACTCCATCCACTCTCTCTAAAATATAAATAATTGGCTGGAGTTGCACTTTGATATGTTTGATATGTGTTCACAATGTATACCCGATATTTCTGGCCTCTTCACACTTGCATGCATGTACGTACACTGGTATTCATTCTGTGTGACCAGAAATCTTTTCAGAGCACATCAAAACTTCAGCTTCCAGGTTTTATTTTTTTCCCAGCAACACTGAAAATACTGAACTTGGTATGTTCCTAAAGTGTGACGTTTGTTGATATTTACCTTCGCCACCCGCACTGCTGTGCTTTGCTATGAGGAATAGAAACTGACACCTGAGGAATCTTTGAACTCCAAGTCCTCTGGGAATGTCGTTTCCCCGGTCCGCTGGGCATGTCGGTTCCCCCGGTCCGCTGGGCATGTCGGTTCCCCCGGTCCGCTGGGCATGTCGGTTCCCCCGGTCCGCTGGGCATGTCGGTTCCCCCGGTCCGCTGGGCATGTCGGTTCCCCCGGGCATGTCGGTTCCCCCGGGCATGTCGGTTCCCCCGGTCCGCTGGGCATGTCGGTTCCCCCGGTCCGCTGGGCATGTCGGTTCCCCCGGTCCGCTGGGCATGTCGGTTCCCCCGTCCTCTGGGCATGTCGGTTCCCCCGTCCTCTGGGCATGTCGGATCCCAGGTCCGTTAGGCATATTGGATCTTTTATTCTCTGGCAGTGCCATTTCCCCTGTTCTGTGGGAAGGCCGGATCCCCTGATCCTCTGGGAATTCTGGATACCTAGTCATTTGGGAATGACCCCTGGGCAGGTCGGTTCCCCTGCCCCCCTGGGCAGGTCGGTCCCCCCCCCCCCCCATGTCCTGTGTGCAATGTTGGATCCCCCGTGCCCTGTGTGATTTGGGGCCGGCAAGAGTGTATTTTAGGTGACCAGCAATTCGGCACGTCTGGAAGTGTGGGATTCTGAAGATTATTTGGGCAGTGGTTTGTCTTTATTACGGTAGACATTGGCCGTGCAGGGAATGTCTTAATTCTCCATAGGGAGGACTGTAATTTACATATTTATTTTGGCGATTTGGAGTTTTTTTTTTCTTTCTTTTTTTTACCTCTACAGATTCACTATAATCTTTCAGGGCTCATTCATACTTAATGCACTTGTTAATGTGCGCTCTATTAAGGCAGCACATGCATTAGTAATGGACTTCCCACGCACCACAATGCATGAAAAAACATGCACAATGCAGTACACCACAATACATTGCTGTGCAGTATGTCAGGATATGAATGACACTACAACACACTGCACAGGAGTGAGTGGGCCCTTGAGGTTTTTTGTTTCTGATTTGTATTTTAACAATTCAAATTCAGATTTTTGTTAACTGACAGAACACTACATCTAGTCTACATGTTCTTTCTCTTATTCATAGGGAGTGGGTACTAAAAAAAAATTGTCATTATCTCTTACAGCAAAATATATTGGTCGAATTAATTTAAATAAAAAGGTGTTGATTCTATTTCCCATTTAAACCCTCAGAAAAAAAAAAGAGATTTTTCTTTATAATATGGACTCTGAGGAAACTGTAGTCTGGTATTGCAGAGTGATGAGAACAGTCTGTGTGTTAAATGATCCCTTTGCACCGTTGATGGTGACATTGAAGCTGTTGGAGTTCCCCCGGCAAAGTCCCCTTTCTCTGCACTCCTGCTGTAGCTTTCTCACTGAGGTCAGTGACGGCAGAAAGTAATTCTGTCTGCCCGGAGCAGCAGAAGCACTGAAGGGAGGAGATGACCAGAGGGACTCCATAGCTTCACACTCAGCCAGCAAAGACCTTTATTGAGTGTATTTCATATATGAATTTGTAGATGTATAGTGGTTACCTGTATATTAATCAATATAGTATATGTTCTTACAGATCAGCTCCTAAAATGGCAGGATAGGCCAAAGTTTGATTCAGACTTGTTGATTTGCACTGAAAGACGATTTTACTAGTATATATGCTACAGTCTATTCATTATTATACAGTATTTATAAAGCGCCAATAGTTCGCTCAGCGCTGTACATTACAAAGGGGGACAGAACATGTGACAGAACAATACCAATACAATGCAAAACATGAGGGGATCGAGGGCCCTGCTCTTTCGAGCTTACAATCTACACATATCTTTTCTAGCAAGTGAGTAGAGCAGGGGCTGAAGGAAAGAAGAGTGTGCATGAAGAAAAGGGGGGGGGGGGGGGATTACCCACTTGCTATGCAAAGGTCACATGAGCTTGGTAATTTTTTTTTTTTTTTTCCCCACTGGTGACTGGCTTTTTACGGTACTGAGAATGTGCCCCCCCCCCCCCCCAGCCGCTGCCCGCAGTGATTCGCAGGCTCTCCTGTTCCCCAATCTCCTCCTCTGTGAATAATAAATGCAGAAACATTGAGCAATTAGTCACTTCTGGGTTCAGTGCTGCCATTGCGTGGCTGCTGTGGTTGGGGAATCCGCTAATCAAGCCTCATCTATGCTGGATTAGCTGCAATGGAGGCCAGAGGTACATTAGGGGTCTTATAGACCCTTCTTGTCTCCATAAAGAGAACCTGTCACCTGCCCATGCAATCGCATAGGGGGCTTATTAGCACCCTTGTGATAGACATAAAGGTCAATGAAAAAAGTGTTCATTTTAAATTAGAATTTTAAAAAAAAAAAAAAAAATGTAAATCGATCCTGTCACCCTGAATGCACACAGGAAGGCAAACACATGTAAAGTGAAACAGCGATTTAGCCCCACATGTGAGTCATTGATGCGAACATGGAGTGAGAACAAAAATTCTACAGTCTTAATTTACGGGTAATTCTAAATAGATAACCTGGAAAGGTTTTTAAAATTTTGCCTGTAGAGAACCTTAGTTTTTCGCCATTTTACAGGCACATGCAAATTTAAAGCTTAACATGTTTGGCCTGTTTTCGCAATGCAACCCCTCCATCTTTTAGAGTTTACCGTAAATATGGGTATTATATTGTGAATGGGTATTATATTTTTTTCTGAAAATATGGTCTGGCTAATACGAATGTGACATAAAATATTGCAACTGCCACCATTTTATTGTACAGGGCCTCTACTTCCAAAAAATATGTAATTGTTTGTAGGGGGGGGTTAAGTAATTTTCTAGTGGAAAATGCAGATTTTAACGTGTGTGTGAAAAATGACCTTGATGCGAAGTGATTAAAGACAACCTGTTGGTTTGCTTTAAGACAAATTGTAATGTCTCCTGGTCACCATAAGCAGTTCACTAATTGATCTTACTTGCTGCTTGGAGTTTATGTAAATTTGAAAAGTTGGAGCTGCTGGAAACATTTTTAAGGACACCGGTGTCTTAGCTGCTCGTCTGCAATTCAAATTTTACTGACACGTTCACCTCAGGGGCCACTTTGGATGACACCTGATAGTGCCCTATACCAGCTAAAATGAAGTTGAAGGAATTCTGTTAATTAACCGTGTCCTCAGAGACTTCATAACATTTCTTCTCTCAATCTGTACAGGTGAAGAGATTGCTAGGCCGAGGCGTTCAACTCCCACAGCCGAAGTTGCAAGGTTAGTTTTATTGCGGTAAAATTAATTTTCCCTTCCTCCAGGGCAGCCGGAGTCCATCATTGTGTGTCATCATATGGTAGTAATGTCAGATCTTTGTATAGCTGTTTAATATAATGATTTCACATAGAAGCGTTGCCCATGTGTGGTATCACAACACTTGACTCTTTCTTATCATATATCGTTGATTTTAAAGGAACAAATTTATCAGCCTTACAGTAAAGCGGCCGTACATGGATCAAAATTCAGGCAGTTAAGCAGCGAGCAGCTGAATTTCGATCCATCTATGCACAGGCTGGTTGTACATAGGTCCAGCTACTGATCGACTTGTGTACAACCAGCCTGTTGGCTATAGCTAACAGCACTGAACACTTTATTCTCACAGCGGAGAAGGCCCTCCGCTGTCAGAATACAAATGTATGGATGGGGGAATCCATTTTTTTTTTTATTGTTCGACCTGCAGGTTGAACAAAAAAAAAAAAGAAAGAATAATGTATGGCCTGCCTTAGCTAGCCAAAACAAGAACTGTAATTTCCATATTCAAGATAATTTATTAAATTATTTTTAGGACATATGTAGGTTTTAACTACTCACCCGTCCAATCACAGTAGATTTACTATGACCAGGCGGCAGCTGCGAGCTCAGTAACATGAATAAATGCTGCGAGATTGCTTCTGGATTTGGGGCATGTGCGCGTGCCCTCTGCCTTCCCACGCTGCGATTGGATACAGCAGTGTTTAGTCAACAGGTCCCGGTCAATGAGTAACCACTTTCCTGCCGCCATGTAGCAGAAATACTGCTACAGAGCTGCAGGGCTGCACAAAATCATGTATATATGTGATTTTGCATTTCCGGGTAGGGTCGCGTGCGCACTCTGCCCGCGCCGTCATTGGCGGTCTCCGCTATCGATCACCGGGTCCCGACTGGTGATTCCCTGCCAGCACCTGGCGATCACCGATCATCACTGACGGGGAAGAGGTTTGTATGTAAACAACACAGATCTCTCCCCTGGCAGCTCCTGCACACTGCTTTTTATGGCTCTGCATATCAGCCAGATACACTGTAACGCACTGGACACCAAAATGAACTGTAGCAGCCTAGCTATTTGCCAGTGCCTGATTTTTCTTTTTTTGTTTTGCTTTGCTTTATCGGCTGGCCCAGCGGCCCATGTAAATAACTTTGGCGGGCCGGATTCGGTCCGCGGGCCGTAGTTTGAGAACCCCTGCTCTAATACAGTACACTGTGTTAACAAATACACTGCTCTGTTTTTAGGTTGACAAATGAACAACTATTCTATGTTTTAATTATTAACTACTGTAGTTGGATATGATAATTACAGTATTAAACCGATGCCACTGCAATACAATGGTGGAAATATTCATCTTTCTTTTTTTTTTTCTTTTTCATTGTCAAGGCCTCCAGCCTGCATTTGATCAGTATGTCACAGATGACAAGACAGGGTACCACTATGGTTCATTCTAGATTGTTAGCGAGGGACCCAATCTATCAGTGACGACCAGGATTGAATTGGATGGAAGATATTATATCATGAATATGTGCTTATGATCGATATGAACTCTTCAGAGGCACATGCTGAGAAAGATGTACAGTACTTGTTTGTACACTCTGGGCCTGTTATCTAATTAAAGCCTTTCTCTGGGAAAGAACAGATGTTGCTCTCTATTATTATGAATCATTGCACAAATATATGACAATATAAAGGCTGAGCACCCATTTGTGATGAGTCTTTGGGAGGAGATGAAAGCAATTTCAGTTTGTTGAACCTTCCTTTCCAGATCCATGGGCACTAATATAGAGTTGGCCCCCATTTGTGGCTATACCAGCCTCCACTGCTCTGGAAGGCTTTTCACAAGACTTTGAAGTGTGTCTGTGGGAAATTTACCCATTCAGCCAGAATAATATTTGTGAGGATAGGTCAGTGGTGTATTTAGGTTTTGTGCTGCCCTAGGCATCACAAAAATGCCCCCCCCCCCCCCCCGCCTGACATTGACCAACAACACCCCTTACTCCCACCTGAGAGAGCCTTCCACTACCACTTCCCCACATACACCAGCCCCCCCCCCCCCCATGGCGAAAGAGAGAGACCCTCACCTTCACAGCTCTGGACATCACCGGGAACTAGAGTCGGGCTGTGTACATCATCATGAAACCCGCAACCTCTCTCGGAACCCACCATGCCGCGTGTGTCCCTTCTTCCGTCCCTTTTTCCTAGGGGCAGTGCCCCCCGCCCCCCCAGATAAAAGCCGTGCTAGGCAAATGCCTTATTTGCCTTGTGGTAAATACACCCCTGGGTCAGGTATTGATGTGGGATGTGAAGACCTGACTAACAGCCATTTCCTGATGTTCTCTATGGTGTATGAAACTAGAAGTGGCAAGGATTTTGTCACTTCTAGTTTTAGTTCTTTGTTCCTGGCCAGCAGGGTTACCCGGGTTCTGTTGCTAGCCAGAAGGGTTGTCAACTGTTATTAAAATTACGGACAGTGTAAAAAAATCTGTGATTTTTACAACTGTCTGTAAATAGCATGGGCTGATAATTTGTAATACTGTGTTGACTTTCGTAAGTGTAAACCAGTCAAATTACTTGTTCTGGGTATTGTCAATGTTTCCATATTGTGTTTATACTGTTTCAATATTGACTGTGTTAGTGTTTTATGTCATTTTTCAGGTTGTTAGTTACAAAAATGTCCTGTGTCGGTACATTTTCCATGTTTTGTCAGTAAACAAATCTTCAGGAGGTTGGCAACACTGCCAGTCAGTGGAGCAGTCGATTAGACCGATCAGTGTCTGATCAGCTGCATTGGAAGGCAGAGGAGAGATCAGGGGTCTAAATAGACCCCAGATCTCTCAACAAAGCCTGTCACTGCCTGGGTTATCATTAAGAATAATATTCAGCCTTTGTGATAGCAATTTATTATTATACAGGATTTATATGGCGCCAACAGTTTGCTCAGCGCTTTACAATATAACGGGAGACAATACAGCAACAATACAGTTCAATACAAGAGGGATAGGAGGGTCCTGATCCATGGAGCTTACAATCTAGGAGGGAGGGGCTAGTGGTACAAAAGGTAGTAACTGTGGGGGATGGACTGGTAGGAAGAGTAGAAGATTCCATTATTAGCTGAGGGCAGGATAGGCTTCCCTGAAGAGATAGGTTTTCAGAGATCGCCTAAAAGTGAGCAGAATAGGCGATAGTCTGATAGATTGGGGTCGAAAATTCCAGAGGATAAGGGAAGCTCTAGATAAGTCAAAGTTTAATTTAGAAAAAATAAAGTAAATAAAATAATAACATTAAAAAAAAATCTAAAGAGCTCCAGAATGCAAGTGCAGGTCCTGCACATATATGTAAACGGGAATTGCACCACATATGTAAACAGGAATTGCAGCACATATGTGCGGTATCACCACAAACCTCAGAGTGAGAATAATTCTAGCACTAGACCTCTTGTTTATCTCTAAACTGGTAACCTTTAAAGGCTTTTAAAGCGTCACCTATGTAGATTTTTAAGTATCGTAGTTTGTCGCCATTTCCCAAACGTGCAAAATTTTAAATCTTGACATTTTTGGTGTCCATTTACTCGGTGCAACATCATCTTTTATATTTTACAAAAAAATGGTGTATTATATATGGACATTTTTGTTTATGTTTACTCAGCGCAACGTCCTCTTTTAAATTTTACCAAAAAATGTTGTTTGTGTGCACCAAAATTCTTATTTTGCTCCTTAAAATTTGCTTTTGATAAACAGCTGTGCAAATATCGTGCAACATAAAGAAATTGCAACAACCTGTACTGTCAGAATGTTATTGCTGTGCCCTTTTTTATGTTGGTCACAGTGGAATGTGCCTATATGTCCTCATTGATGGGAATATTGCAATTTTTTTTTTGTTGTTTTCCTCTTTTCCTCCCATATATCCTGGGAGGTGTTTGTACTGGTATTTTATTAATATGAAAAATAAAAATATATTGAAAGAGAAAAATTGCAACAAGCACCATTTTATTTCTGCTTTCAGAATATATATAATGTTTGGGGATTGCTAAGTAATTACCTAACTAAAAAAATGCTGATTTTAATGTGTGTGAGAAATGTCAGAATTGCCCTGGGCAGCAAGTTGGTTAATGTCACTGTAAATGAGCTAGTTAGTTGCACAGTCATGCTGGAACGTAAAATTGCTTTCCTGACACTGCAAGCTGGAAGCACACAAATGTCTAAAATGCCTTTTATATGCTGTAGGATTTACCAGTACCCTTCACTGGAAGCCCCAGAAAATTGTAATTCAGAGGGGTGTCCAGATACTTTTGGCTATATAAAGGGTGTGATAAGCAGATGTCCAAAAACATTTTATCGTATAGTTTTGTACACCTCAGATTATCACATAATGTATTTTCACCTATTTTGTCACGCATTAAAGAGAAACTCCAACCAAAACCTATTTTATTTTAAGAGGGAAAGGATCAGGAGCTCAGTCATCCCAATACCCTCCTTTACTATGGAACTCTTTCAGTGTGCCAATCATTTTCTAGACATTTTTTTATTCCTTTAATCCCTGGCTCACTCACATGTGATTCTCTATGCATTTTCAAATGCACAGATCTGCGTGACAGGCTAGATGTTATGTGTTCCTATTGAGGTGGTTCACACTGATGCGATCTACAGGCATTGCGTTTTGAGTGTGAATCCAAAAAGGGACCTGTGCGAGGTTGGAGTGATGTGTTCCAGACTTGCAAGTGATAGAGTATAGTGGCTTGCAAAGGTCAGTGGTTACATATGATTGAGATTGACAGATATATTTGCATTGAAGTCAGTTTAAGGCGTGTTGGCATTGAAGTCAATGGGAGGCGTGTTGGCATTGAAGTCAATGGGAGAAGCGTGTTGGCATTGAAGTCAATGGGAGGCGTGTTGGCATTGAAGTCAATGGGAGGCGTGTTGGCATTGAAGTCAATGGGAGGCGTGTTGGCATTGAAGTCAATGGGAGGCGTGTTGGCATTGAAGTCAATGGGAGGCGTGTTGGCATTGAAGTCAATGGGAGGCGTGTTGGCATTGAAGTCAATGGGAGGCGATTCTGCGTTGAAGTCAGTGGAAATGCAGATGCTAAAGTTGCACCTCAAGTGAAATCACACTCAAACCGCATTGGTATTCACACAGAAATGCATGCATAAATCGTAATACGATTTCAGCACGCATATGTGTGATCCCATGGTTAGTTTTAAGTTCTTTCATTTGAAATACAACACCACTATTTATCACTCCTTGCTCCTGAACTATTTAACCTTCTATATTATTTTTTGAACATGTAATCTCTATATTAGAAATTAAAAGGGAAACTAAAAGTCAATTTTATTTCCTGTATTACAATAAGGATAAGATGGCTGTAACACCTTAGCTGCCCCAATTGCTTTACCATTTGACTAATCATCAGCCAGCACTTTAATACTGTCTGTGTTATAAAAATCCTTTAGTAAGAAGACACCAGCTGAATTATTCGGACCTCCTCTGGAATCTACCTTTGAGGAATCCAAATCTGAAGGTGAGCCGAGTCCTTAAGGTGAAAACATCTGCGTGTATTTAGTTAAAATCTACAAAGATGAATTGTTTACTGGAATAGGGGCATCTAGTAACTTAAATACGGTCAGGATGTTTTTTTCCCCTCTGATTTCTGTATTTTTTATTATTATTATACAGGATTTATATAGCGCCAACAGTTTGCATAGCGCTTTACAAAATGAAAGTGATCAAGAGAGAATGGTAAAATTTACATACAATGTATTATTTAATGAAACCTTTCCTGTCTCAGTTCCTCTAGATCAGCCTGAAATATGGGGTGCTTCACAACTAAATACTGCAGAATCCCCAAAGCTGTCAAGACCATTCCCCACAGGAAGTAAGTCCTTTTATGTGTTCTTATTTGGTGTCATGTACATTTGGTATATATATCATAACTATGCTAGTACTGACCATTTATGTACGTAGTTGCTTTTTATTTATTTTTTTATAGTAATTTGACAAGTGACTAAAGTGCTTACAGTGGGGAAAATAATGATTTGAACCCCTGCAGATTCTGTAAGTTTGCCCTCCTACAAAGAAATGAAAGGTCTATAATTTTTATCATAGGTGTATGTTAAATGATAGACACAGACTATCAACCACAAATCCAGAAAAAACACACATGATACAAATGTTATAAATTGAGTTGCCATTCAGTGAGTAAAATAAGTATTTGATCCCCTACCAACCAACAATAATTCTGGCTCCCACAGACTGGCAATGTGCTCATGTGGTACACAGATTAATCCTGTCAATTTAAGAAGGAGCTCCTAACGACAACTCATTATGTGTCTATAAGACACCTGTCCACAGAATCTTTCTTGGGCACCACCATGGGCAAGACCAAGGAGCTGTCAAAGGACATCAGGGACAAGATTGTAGACCTGTACAAGGTTGCATTGGGTTACGAGTCCATTGGCAAGAAGCTTGGTGAGAAGGAGACAACTGTTGTAGTGATTATTCACAAATGGAAGGACTACAAAATAACCATCAGTCGCCCTCGGTCTGGAGCTCCATGCAAGATTTTACCTCATTGGGTAAGGATGATCATGAGAAAAGTGAGGGATCAGCCCAGATCTAAACAGGAGGAGCTTGTAAATGATCTCAAGGCAGTTGGGAGCACAGTCCCGAAACAAACCATTGGTAACACAATATGCTGCCATGAATTGAAATCTCACAGTGCCCGCAGGTCCCCTTCCTCAAGAAGGCACCCTTACAGGCCCGTTTGAAGTTTGCCAATGAACATCTAAATGATTCAGAGAAGGATTGGGAGAAAGTGGTGTGGTCATACGAGACCAAAATTGAGCTCTTTGACATTAATTCAACTCGCCGTGTTTGGAGGAAGAAAAATGCTGACTATGACCCTAAGAACACCATCCCAACAGTCAAGCACGGAGGTGGAAATGTTATTCTTTTGGGCTGTTTCTCTGCTAAAAATACAGGCCGACTTTGCCGCATTGATGGGCCAAGAAGAAGACACCAGCTGAATTTATTCGGACCTCCTCTGGAATCTACCTTTGAGGAATCCAAATCTGAAGGTTAGCCGAGTCACCCTTACAGGCCCGTTTGAAGTTTTGCCAATGAACAACTAAATGATTCAGAGGATTGGGAGAAAGTGGTGTGGTCATACGAGACCAAAATTGAGCTCTTTGACATTAATTCAACTCGCCGTGTTTGGAGGGAAGTAAAATGCTGACTATGACCCTAACAACACCATCCCAACAGTCAAGCACGGAGGTGGAAATGTTATGTTTTTGGGCTTTTTCTCTGCTAAAAATACAGGCCGACTTTGCCGCATTGATGGGCCAATGGACAGGGGCCATATATTGTAAAATCGTGGATGAGAACCTTCTTCCCTCAGCCAGAACACTGAAGATGGGTCGTGGATGGGTCTTCCAGCATGACAATGACCCAAAACATACCGCCAAGGCAACAAAATATAGTGGCTCAAGAAGAAGCACATTAAGGTCATGGAGAGGCCTAACCAGTCTCCAGACCTTAATCCTATAGAAAATTTATGGAGGGAGCTGAAAGTTTGAGTTGCCAAGCGACAGCCAAGAAATATTAAGGATTTAGAGAAAATCTGTAAGGAAGAGTGGACCAAAATCCCTCCTGAGATGTGTGCAAATCTGGTAACCAACTACAAGAAACTTCTTTCCTCTGTGCTTGCCAACAAGAGTTTCTCCACCAAGTACTAAGTCATGCTTTACTTGGGGATCAAATACTTATTTTACTCACTGAACTGCAAGTCAACTTATAACATTTGTATCTCTTATTTTTTCTGGATTTTTGATTGATATTCTGTTTCTATCATTTAAAATACATCTATGATAAAAATTAAAGGCCCTGCATTTATTTGTAAGTGGGCAAACTTACAAAATCTTCTGAGGATCAAACAATTATTTTCCCCACTGTATTAAATCTAAACATTTTTTATCTTAAGGCCCTCATTCGATCCAGCGCTGTGCACATCTGGAGCTCTTATTTCCTTTCACTTCCGGGTCTCACTGGCTTTGCTGAGGCAGCCCGGAGCCTTTGACGGTCATTTAAAGCTGGTGAAGAGGGAGCGGAGCTGAATCCCTATGTCTGTGTCTGCAGATGCTGACAGCAGCGCTCGAGAGCGAGCACGCAGATGGGCCCCCATAGAAAGCGTTTTCCTATGGGGTACCACCGAGAGGAGGAGGAGCCAGGAGCTTCTGCAGGGGACCCAAGAAGAGGAGGTTCAGGGATGCTCTGTGCAAATCCACTGCACAGAGCAGGTAAGTAGAAACTGGTTTGGTATTTTTACTTTGGTTTTTTTTTTTTTTTTTAAACGTTTACAATCACTTTAAGGAGAATGTGTGACTTTGCCCATTCAGGGTAAGTTATACTCACCTTTGCCTCTTTTCCCTGGTATGTGGTACCTCTGTAAGAACCCTAGGAGAGACCCAGTATTTCCGGTATAGAGGAACATGTGACCTCCTCACATTTCACTCAAGATGTGGTTTTTGGGCCTGAATAGCCAATCACCAATTCTGAAAACTATCACACAAGGGGGAGGAAAGGTCAAGGTGGGGCGTCCTAACAAGAGAACCTGTGACCTTTTTCTCCAAATGGGTGACAAATGCTTTTTCAAGTTGTTGTAAAAGCTTAAGGATTTCTAATGTAATGCATTCTCTGCATAAAGGTAAAATACCTTCTATGTTCAGATTATCCCCAGCTTCTCCCCTAAATACTTATCTGAGCCCGATCCAGCGCTGCTCTCTCTCTTCTCACTGGACATGAAGACAGCAGCGGGAGCCATTGGCTCCTGCTACTGTCAATCAAATTCTGTTAGGAGGGAGTAGACCCTAGTCACACTGTGTGTGTCAGTAGTCGCGCACAGCCTGGCTTGGGATCGAAACTGCACATGTGCCACTATCAGAAAGCACATGGAGAGGAGAAGGAGCCAAGGACGTCAACGGGGGACATGAAAAGAGGAGGATCAGGAGCCGCTATGAGCAAAACCATTACACAGAACAGGTAACTGACATGTTTGTTATGTAAAAAAATGTTACATTACTATCACTTTAAACTAAATGCTCTCCTCTAATAAAACACCAGTCATTGTAGTTACAGCGCCTTGAAAAAGTATTCGTACCCCTTGAAATGTTCCCCATGTTGTCATGTTACAACCAAAAACGTAAATGTATTTGATTGGGATTTGATGCGATAGACCAACACAAAGTGGCACGTAATTGTGAAGTGGAAGGAAAATGATAAATGGTTTTCAAATTTTTTTACAAATAAATCTGTGAAAAAAGTGTGACGTCATTTGTATTCAGCCCCCCGGAGTCAATACTTTGTAGAACCCCCTTTCGCTAGAGAGAGACTTTTCTGCCAATTCTTCTTTACAAAATAGCTCAAGCTCTGTCAGATTGGTTGAAGAGAGTCTGTGAACAGCAATTTTCAAGTCTTGCCACAGATTCTCAGTTGGATTTAGGTCTGGACTTTGACTGGGCCATTCTAACACATGAATATGCTTTGATCTAAACAATTCCATTGTAGCACTGGCTGTATGTTTAGAGTCGTTGCTTTGCTGTCCTTGCTGAAGAAAAGCGTCTCCACAAACATGATGCCACCACCACCATGTTTCACAGTGGGGATGGTGTGTTCAGGTCGATGTGCAGTGTTAGTTTTCCACCACACATAGCGTTTTGCTTTTAGGCCAAAAAGTTCAATTTTGGTCTCATCTGACCAGAGCCCCTTCTTCCACATGTTTGCTGTGTCCCCCACATGGCTTCTCGCAAACTGCAAACGGGACTTCTTATGGCTTTCTTTCAACAATGGCTTTCTTCTGCCACTCTTCCATAAAGGCCAGATTTGTGGAGTGCATGACTAATAGTTGTCCTGTGGACAGATTCTCCCACCTGATCTGTGGATCTCTGTAGCTTCTCCATAGTTCCCATGGGCCTCTTGGCTGCTTCTCTGATGAATGCTCTCTTTGCCCGGCCTATCAGTTTAGGTGGACGGCCATGTCTTGGTAGGTTGCAGTTGTGCCATACTCTTTCCATTTTCTGATGATGGATTGAACAGTGCTCAGTGAGATGGTCAAAGCTTGGGACATTTTTTTTATAACCTAACCCTACTTTAAACCTCTCCACAACGTTATCCCTGACCTGTCTGGTGGCCTTCATGATGCTGTTTGTTCACTAATGTTCTTTTACAATCCTCTGAGGGCTTCACAGAACAGCTGCATTTATACTGAGATTACATGACACACAGGGGGACTCTATTTACTAATTAGGTGACTTCTGAAGGTAATTGGTTCCACTAGGTTTTAGTTAGGGGTATCAGAGTAAAGGGGCTGAATACAAATGCATGCTACACTTTTCAGATACTTATTTGTAAAAAAAAAAAACATTTCTCATTTTCCTTCCACTTCACAATTATGTGCCACTTTGTGTTGATCTATCAGATAAAATCCCAATAAAATACATTTATATTTTTGGTTGTACCATGACAAAATGTGGTAAATTTCAAGGGGTATGAATACTTTTTAAAGGCGCTGTAAATTTATGTATTTGTATGGACCCTAAAAAGTTTATATTTTATGATGTATTAAAAATAAAAAAGATTTTTATAACGTCTCTCATGATAATTGTAGGGGGGTGAGAATACTTTGAAGGCATTGTATATACATATTGAAGAATCATTTAATGTATATTTAAATGAAACCAGTGTTAAGTGCCTAAATTTATCTTGATATTGTCCTTCTTAAGTCCTCTGTATGGCAAGACCACTGTTGTTCGTGTTGACAGGAGTAGAGAGCAGAGTGTAAACTTAATCAGCATGCTGCTGCTCCAGTGTTGTCCAGTCAGCAGGCTGGGGCTGTGTTCTGTGCTGCTGCTGTTGCAAAGAAGTTTCTGCTGGTGCTATGGCTGTGATTACTGACAGGGGTGTCTTGATCACAAGATTGATCCGAATTATAAATATCTTGGCAAGTTAAATATGAATTTCACCTCTAAAGAGACCCTGTCAGATCTCTAAATATATGAAACCATCAGTTCTTTGCAAGTAAAGAAATGGTACCATGCTTACCACTCCTGTGGTTGTCTTTCCTACCTTCCCTCTAGTCTGGCACTAAAGCCGCTTTCGGTATTTTCAGCAATCAACAGTTTTGAAGTGTTCCCGCCACTTTCTGTGGTTCCTTCCTCCAACCCTTATTTCACTATAGGAATTGGCAGTGACCTAAGGATCAGAAGATGGAACCATGGTCCACAGCAGGGAACACAACCCATATTATTAACCTCCAAATGAAGGCCCAGTTTTTCCTGGAAAAAAAGGTGATTCACCTGGAGTGCCTCAAGATTTTGAATACTTTTACCCTAGCTCAGGGGTGGGCAATGTGCGGCTCTCCAGCTGTTGTGGAACTACATTTCCCATGAGGCATTGCAAAGAAAGGACATTGCAAAACTGACAGAGGCATGATGTAACTTGTAGTTCTGCAACAGCTGGAGAGCCACGCATTGCCCACCCCTGCCCTAGGTTCACACCTAAGCGTTTTCTGCAGCATTTTGCAAAACGCAGTACAGTCCATTTAACATGATTTTCTATGGGACATGTTCACAGCTGTGCATTTTCACCCGGTGCGTTTTTTGGAAAGGGTCGGGGACTTTTTTTAATGCAAAAAGTTGCGTTTTTGGTTCTAAAGACTTCAATGGAAACGCTGCAGAAAAGCATGTATTTTTGTGTGTTTGATGCATTTTTGATCCATATTGTGTTTTTAAATCTACCTAGCAACAAGAAAAATGTAAAAAAAATGGAGGAAAAGAATGCCAAACGCGTCAAAAACGCAACATAAAATGCAATGCTGAAACGGCTCCAATGCAACCTGCATAGGTGTGAACCTAATTTGAAAGAATGCTGTGACTAAAAATGAGGTTGAGAAATGCTGCACTAAACCCTTTACTTTAGAAAAGTCGAACATTTTAACCATTTTAGTAAAAAACATACTAATTGTTGTCTATTGCATGTACATCTGAACTTTAACAATTCTTTTTTTTTTTTTTTTTTTTCATTCTAGCACCTCCACCTATTCCACCCAAAAATATTCCGGCCACTCCACCCAGAACGGCATCGCCATTGCCAGCAGGCATAGGTTAGTGACTTCAGCCATACTGTCAATAAACAGTCTTTTCTATGGGCTGCTTTGTGTTCTCTGTGCTGGAGAATAGTGAAACTTAACAACTTTACAGGAGTTTGTTGATTTTGGTGTAAACGAATAACCTCCATTTTGTTGGAAACTTGCAATGACCTGAAAATTGCCTGGGTCACAGATAATTTGGTGGCACCAGTAAGTCATTTTTATTGACATTTTTCCTTTGGTGGTTGGAGTTAAAATGTAGTCGGCTTCAGCGTGCAAGTTATCGCTGTAGCTGGATTTAGTGTGCTTGCGGTAGCATTGCTAGACCCTGGTAGCCAGGGCAGACTGGCCAGCAATGGCTTCTGAAAGGCTCCAGTACTCTACAGAAGCAAAAGAATTTTAGGTGCACACTAGCCACTCATAAGTGGTTCAACAAATTTCCAGTATTGAAAGACGTGTTTTTTAAAGTATGGCAGACTGAACCACATCCTGTTCATTTGCAATGCAGAAACCTCATATATGAAAAAACGAAAAAACTCCCCCCGACTGATCCAAATCCTCTCTTTTTGTACCATTTACTCCCACTAAGCACTGCAGCTCACAGCAGGAGGGTTTCAGCAACAGAGTGCTGTCAATCCAGAAAGGGACTAGGCATGGCCTGCTACTGTTCAGCAAGCTACAAACGTGAGAATCAGCAGTGCCAAATGATGATAGCCACTCCCCCTACAACATTCACTCATCCCACTGTAGTACAAGAAGGCCCAGGCTACATGGGGGTGACAGCTGTGAGCATTGAAGCATTGTTGCCACTAAGGATGCACCAATACGTTGTTTTTTGTTGTTTTGACCGCCCGGCGGTACCACTAGCACTCCACTGATCGGATGTTCCCAGCGCACGGAGTCTAAGCCCCAGAGTACTTGTTCACCAGGGCCCCTGATGGTGGGGATGGACTTGGAGTACCCCAGGACCAGGTCGTGACTACTGAGGACACCCGTCAGTGGTAGGGGTATTCGCCAGGGGCTCCCACGGGAGAGAGCCAGGTATGAGGAGGTCTGGAGACCCCGTTGAGAGGGATGGATGGATGGCTGAGCAAGTGCAGGGTCATACAAGCCGGGTCGGTAACTATGGGGACGGTGCGGTACAGAGCAGCAGGCAAAGAATAGTCGGGTCACACGCCAGGTCAGCAACAGCAGGTCAGATCCAATAGGGGGCATTCAGGAGAGAGGTCAGGCAAGCAAGGGTCAAGAACAGGAGAAAACAGCAAGGTCAGGGCACAATCCGGGTCAGCAACTTACTACAACAGGTTCACAGGATACAAGGAGACCAAAAGGCACTGAATGACAGCTCAGGGCCGTTTAAATATCCCGCCCTGCGCTGTCATTGGTGCCAGGCGCGCGCCCGTGGTCACTACTGCGCATGCGCGAACCTGATTGCCGCGGTCGGCCAAGTCCCCGGCGCTCGCGTACAGGGAGGTGTACTGCGCCTGCGCCGAGCCCAGCGGCGCGGCGATCTCCGACATTGCCCCCCCCCCCCCCTACGGGCAACCTCCGGATGCCCACCCGATCTCTCCACCACGGGTGATCACGAAGAAACTCCCGGACTAGTCTAGGTGCGTGGACATTATGAGCCGGTTCCCAGGAATTGTCCTCAGGACCATAGCCCTTCCACTTAATTAGGAATTGGGTCTGGCCCCCCCTTCTTCGGCACTTAAGGATCGTTTCCACCTCAAATTCCTCTTGTCCTTCGACCGTTATGGCCTCTGGGGGTCTGGATTCTCGTTCTGGGAAGGCATCTGGGATCACTGGCTTCAGCAGGGATACATGGAAGACTGGATGAATTCTGAACGTGTCCGGAAGGATAAGCTCATATGCCACTTCGTTGACCATCCGCTTTACCTGAAAAGGCCCCACAAATTTAGGTCCCAATTTTTTCGAGGGACAAAGCATCTTTAAGTTGGTTGTGGCCAACCACACCTTCTGCCCAGGCCGCAACGCCAAATCCCCTCTTCGTTTCTTGTTAAACTCCTTCTTATTGTCCTCTTGGGCCGAGCGATGGCTTCCTGGAGTAATTTGTTATTGGCGGAGAAGAAGGTCAACGCATCCTGCGTTGCTGGAACTGGGCATTCAGAGACCAAATCAGGGAGAAAGACAGGGTGAAACCCATAATTCGAAAAGAATGGGGTACTGCCCCGTTGCCGAATGGCTTGCGTTGTTATAAGCGAACTCCGCCAGGGGTAAGAGTGACAACCAATCATCCTGCAGGAAAGACGTGTAGCAACGCAAGTATTGCTCCAGGGTCTGGTTCGTCCTCTCGGTCTGACCGTTGGTCTGAGGGTGGAACGCGGAGGAGAGGGACAACTTGATGTCCAGGGCCTTGCACAGAGCCCTCCAAAACTTAGATGTAAACTGGACCCCTCGATCAGAGACGATGTCCTCAGGTACTCCATGAAGTCTAACGATCTCCCGGATAAATATTCGCGCCGTCTCGGCTGCTGACGGAGTCTTCCTTAGTGGCACGAAGTGAGCCATTTTGGATAGGCGATCAATGACCACCAGAATTGCTGTGTGGTCTTGCGACGGTGGGAGCTCGACTATGAAGTCCATCGCGATCTTCTGCCAAGGCCGTTCGGGAATCGGCAAAGGTCGCAACAGCCCCCAGGCTTTGCTCCTCGATGGTTTTGCTCTTCTGGCAGATGGTACAGGATCTCACGTAGCGCTTGCAATCCTTAGCCATGTTTGGCCACCAAAAACGAGCGCCGGAGAAGCTCCAGAGTCTTGACTGGGCCAAAGTGACCTGCCAGCGGGTGATCGTGGCAATGCCCCAAAACCAGGGTCCGGACTTCCTCAGGTACCACGATTGAATCTTCCTTCCACAGGAGTCCCCCCTTGTTCTGGAGGGATACCCCAACTGGGGTTGGTGTGGCCGTAGATGCTTCTATTAACTTGGAGCGAAGGTCCGTCTGGAGCGCCAAGAAGTTCCCTGAAGACAAGATAGTGTCGGGTACCAGTTCTTCTTCGGAGTCCTCAAACATACGAGATAGCGCGTCGGGCTTCGTATTTTTAGATCCGGGCCTGTAAGTAATGTGAAAATTAAATCTGGAAAAGAACAGGGCCCATCTTGCCTGCCGTGGGCGTAGACGCTTGGCAGTCCTCAGATATTCCAGATTCTTGTGGTCTGTGAAAAAATCAATATGGTGTGTGAGGCACCTTCCAGCAGGTACCTCCATTCCTCTAGCGCTGCTTTGATAGCCAGCAGCTCTCGATCACCGATATCGTAATTCTTCTCCGCTGAGGTGAGTTTCCTCGAGAAGAATGCTACGGGATGGAGTAACTCTTTGGTGCCTTTCCGCTGAGACAGGATGGATCCTACCGCATTCTCCGATGCATCTACCTCCAAGATGTAGGGCAGGGCCGCGTCCGGGTGGCCCAGGATGGGTGCCGAGGTAAATAGCTTTTTCAGAGCTTCGAAAGCTCTTTGAGCCTCTGGTGTCCATTTGAACCGGGTTCCAAGTTTGGTTAGTTGAGTAATGGGGGAGACCAGACCCGAGAAGTTCTTGATGAACTTCCGATAAAAGTTTGCGAACCCTATAAACCGTTGGACACCTTTTTTGTCCGTGGGTTCAGGCCAATCTAAAATTGCAGAGACCTTCTGGGGGTCCATCGCGACCCCCGCAGTGGAGATAATCAGGCCTAGAAAAACGTGATGCTAGATTGCTCGAAGCAACATTTCTCCGCCTTAGCATATAACCCATGCTGCCGCAACCGCCCCAATACTTTTGCCACATGTATCCTATGATCCTCTAGAGAGGGTGAAAAAATTAGTATGTCGTCCAAGTAGACGATAACGAAGACATCCAAAAAATCCCTGAAGATGTCGTTCACGAAATGTTGGAAAGGTGGCTGGTGCATTGCACAGCCCAAATGGCATGACCAGGTATTCAAAGTGGCCAAACCGGGTACGGAAAGCCGTTTTCCACTCGTCCCCCTCTCTTATGCGTACCAGGTTATAGGCCCCCCTTAAATCAAGCTTTGTGAATATAACCGCAGCCTTTAGGCTCTGAAACAGTTCTGGTACCAATGGCAATGGGTAACGATTTTTGATCGTGACCCTGTTCAGCTCCCGGTAGTCGATACAAGGTCTCAGGGTTTTGTCTTTTTTTTTCTCCACGAAGAAGATTCCCGCTCTGCTGGAGAGAAGTGGAGGGGCGGATGAATCCCTTCTGGAGGCTGTCCTCGATATATTCCTTTAGGGCCCCCAATTCAAGCTCAGATAGGGGGAAAATACGCCCAAAAGGGATTTCAGAGCCTGGTAACAGGTCGATTGGACAGTCATACGGGCGGTGGGGGGGCAGAGTATCGGCTCCCCGCTTACTGAACACGTCCAGGAACCCATGATAGGCTGCGGGAATAACCTGTTTCAAATCGGAGTCTCCTTCGGAGCAAAGGAGAACTCGGGGCCCTGCGGGGCCCGAAGTGCGACAATGTTCCCGACAGTATGGGGAAGGGAACGAGATTGACCCGGTTTCCCAGTCAATCTGGGGGTTGTGGGCCCGTAACCATGGGAGCCCCAGAATGACTGGGAAAAGAGGTGATGCAATAGCGTCCAGGCGGAGGAACTCCTGGTGCTGGTTGGCAATGATAGTGGCAATGGGGGGAGTTTCCTGATTAACTACCCCCGATTTTATCTGGGAACCATCGGCCAAAAAAGATGTTGAAGCCCTTCTGTCTGTGTTGGAGAGGGATACCCTGCTGGTGAGCAAACTCTAAATCCAGGAAACAGCTGCATGCCCCCGAATCAACTATGGCTGTCACCTCCACGGTCTTTTCTGGAAGCTGAAAGGAGAGGGGCACTACTAAGTATTGCGAAGGACAGGTATTGCTAATAGACAAGGAAGAAAAACGGGTGCACTTACTCATTTTCTGAGGGCAGGATCGCACCATATGACCAGCTTCACCGCAGTAAAGGCAGAGGTTCTGGGCTCGTCTGCGCTGGCGTTCCTCCGGTGATAATTTAG